TGGCAACCAGAATTCAGCAATTCATCAAAAGAATCATACATCAGGATCAGGTGGGATTCATACCAGGGACACAGGGATGGTTCAACATCCGCAAATCAATCAATGTGATACACCACATCAACAAACTGAGGAATAAAAACCACATGATCATCTCAATAGATGCAGAGAAGGCATTTGACAAGATCCAACAGCCATTTATGATAAAAACTCTGAACAAAATGGGCACAGAAGGAAACTACCTCAACATAATAAAGGCCATATACGACAAACCCATGGCCAACATCATACTCAATGGGCAAAAACTGAACCCCATCCCCCTGAAAACAGGAACAAGACAAGGATGCCCTCTATCACCACTCTTATTTAACATAGTACTGGAGGTCCTGGCCAGAGCAATCAGGCAAGAAAAAGGAATAAAAGGAATCCAAATAGGGAAGGAAGAAGTGAAACTCTCGCTGTTTGCAGACGACATGATCTTATATATAGAAAACCCCAAAGAATCCATTGGAAAACTGTTAGAAGTAATCAACAACTACAGCAAAGTTGCAGGGTATAAAATCAATTTGCATAAATCAGTAGCATTTCTATACTCCAGTAATGAACCACAGAAAAAGAACTCAAGAATACAATACCATTCACAATCGCAACAAAAAGAATAAAATACCTTGGGGTAAATTTAACTAAGGAAGTGAAGGACTTATATAATGAAAATTACAAGGCCTTTCTGAGAGAATTGGATGATGACATAAGGAGATGGAAAGACATTCCATGTACATGAATTGGAAGAATAAACATAGTTAAAATGTCTATTCTACCTAAAGCAATCTACAGATTCAACGCCATCCCAATCAGAATCCCAATGACATTATTTACAGAATTAGAACAAAGAATCCTAAAATTCATATGGGGCAACAAAAGACCCCGAATTGCTAAAGCAATCCTGAGAAAAAAGAACAAAACGGGAGGCATCACAATCCCTGACTTCAAAACATACTACAAAGCTACAGTAATCAAAACAGCATGGTACTGGTACAAAAACAGGTGCACAGATCAATGGAACAAAATTGAAAGCCCAGAAATAAAACCACACATCTATGGACAGCTTATCTTTGACAAAGGAGCTGAGGGCATACAATGGAGAAAAGAAAGTCTTTTCAACAAATGGTGCTGGGAAAACTGGAAAGCTACATGTAAAAGAATGAAAATTGACCATTCTTTTTCACCATTCACCAAAATAAACTCAAAATGGATTAAAGACCTAAAGGCGAGACCTGAAACCATAAGGCTTCTGGAAGAAAACGTAGGCAGTACACTCTTTGACATCAGTATTAAAAGGATCTTTTCGGACACCATGCCTTCTCAGAGAAGGGAAACAATAGAAAGAATAAACAAATGGGACTTCATCAGACTAAAGAGCTTCTTCAAGGCAAATGAAAACAGGATTGAAACAAAAAAACAACCCACTAACTGGGAAAAAATATTTGCAAGTCATATATCTGACAAAGGCTTAATATCCTTAATATATAAAGAACTCTCACAACTCAATCACAAAACATCAAACAACCCAATCAAAAAATGGGCTGGAGACATGAACAGACATTTCTCCAAAGAAGATATACTGATGGCCAATAGGCACATGAAAAGATGCTCATCATCGCTGATCATCAGGGAAATGCAAATCAAAACTACACTAAGATATCACCTTACACCCGTTAGAATGACAAAAATATCTAAAACTAATAGCAACAAATGTTGGAGAGGTTGGGGAGAAAAAGGAACCCTCATACACTGCTGGTGGGAATGCAAACTAGTGCAGCCACTATGGAAAACAGTATGGAGATTCCTCAAAAAACTAAAAATAGAACTACCATACGATCCAGACATCCCACTACTGGGTATCTATCCAAAGAGCCTGAAGTCAGCAATCCCAAAAGTCCTGTGTACCCCAATGTTTATTGCAGCACTGTTTACAATAGCCAAGACGTGGAAGCAACCTAAGTGCCCATCAACAGACGAATGGATAAAGAAGATGTGGTACCTATATACAATGGAATACTACTCAGCTGCAAAACAGAACAAAATCATTCCATTTGCAATAACATGGATGGACCTTGAGAGAATTATGTTAAGTGAAATAAGCCAGCAAGAGAAAGATAATCTGTGTATGACTCCACTCATATGAGGAATTTAAAACTATGGACCAAGAACAGTTTAGTGGATACCAGGGGAAAGGTGGGGTGGGGGGGTGGGCACAAAGGGTGAAGTGGTGCACCTACAACATGACTGACAAACATTAATGTACAATTGAAATTTCACAAGATTGTAACCTATCAATAACTCAATAAAAAAAAAAAAATTACCCATCTTCAGAACCCACCCCAAACCAGCTAGATCAGAATCTCTGGGACTAGAGCCTGGACAACGGTAGTTCTCAAAAATTCACCAGGCGACTCTAACTGCAGGTGATTCTAAGGCAGGCTACTCAAGGTGTGGTCTGTGGATCAGCAGCATCAGCATCACCAGGGGCTGGTTAGAAATGCAAATTCTCAAATCCCACCCCAGACCTATAGCAATCTGTATTTCAACAAGCTCTCCAGGAAATTTAGATGCCCGCTTAAGTTTCAAAAGGCTTGCAGAAGAAACTCTTTCTTTTTTTTTTTTTACGTTTTTTTCACTTCATTGCTATAAAGACTTGCTGGTTCTTTCAAAGGGTTAATTATCTTTTGCAGTTGACATGGTCCCTTAGGAGACTGAGGAATAACCCTGTATAAGTGTGAGTGAGTGAAACACAGGCCAAACCCAGTGGAGAATGCCATTCCAGTCCCAGGGACTCTGGCTACGTCTCATGTGTAAGTTTCCTCTGCAACAAACACAGTGTCTGGACACTTTTTTGTTAATTCATCTTTAGAAGATTTCAGGTAGGTTTTTCTAAGTTGACAAATACTTTAGATCAGAACCAGAAGTTCCTTGTGTAAGAATCTTTTAGGAAAGAATATCTCCTTTAGGAAAGAAGATCAAGATCCAGATTTAGAGATAAATCTAAAGATGGATCTAACTATAGATTTATAAAATATAATATTTTTAAAGTAACAGCATTTGGATTTTAGCAATGTCTTCAGTTTTAAGTTTTTTTTCCTTAAATCTGAGTAAAATTAAGTTGACTAACTTTATTTAAAGACAGCATGCATAGAATGATCCCATTATAATAAACGTATTTCTGGGTCTATCTGTATACAGGCAGAGAATGATGTTCACCTGATATTATTTATGAGTGGTGACATTTGAGGTACTTTCTTAAACTTTCTTTTTGTGCTTTTCTACATTGCTGAAATTCCTAAAAATGTACATTATTTTTCCAAAAATACTAAAGTGATTTTTCTAGGGAAAAAAAAAACCCCATTCAATTCATTAATTTGACCAGGATGATCAGGATCTGTGTATCAATTCATGCCAACCAAATTCATAGACACTGTGAATCAGAATCGCAATACATTAGCTAACACACCCATTCCTAGATCTGAGACATGTCATCCCGAGAAAGCATCTACTTTTTGGTGACTGTATTAACTCAGGAGTCTAAACTACATATTAGAAAGTTGCCTGATGAGCACAGAGTTAGAGATAAGGCAGTAGAGTCTTCTTAGGAAATTTCTTTGAAACTATCACTGACTAATGATTTGTCTTTCACTGAAGTAATTATTCTTTGTAAAGAACTGTTTTCTCACCCTAAAATCAGGACTCCATCTTCCCATCCTAAATATTTATCATAAGGTACAGTTCCCAAGATTATGACTGATTGCTTACGCCAGAGGAATTTCCAAATCCCAAATGCGAAAGTGTCATTTCTGGCAAGATTGTCTTCAACACTAAACATAAATGTAACATCCACGGTAGCTACTATATCAGAACTTGACATCTCATCCTTATCTCTCAATGTAGGGTTTATCTTAGTTGGGGGTGATCTGAGCCTTCTATCTATTAAATACATGCTGGTTTTTCTAAAAAGTTCACGAGAAACAAAAAGAGTAAATGCAATGTAAGGAAGTAGAGCCTGGGTTTGTTTTTCTTAAGATTTAATGAAAAACGCAAGTTAAATTAAATTCAGGGGCCGGCCGGTGGTGTAGCGGTTAAGTTTGCACACTCCACGTTGGTGGCCCAGGGTTTGCAGGTTCGGATCCCAGGTGCAGACCTATGCATTGCTTACCAAGCCATGCTGTGGCAGGCGACCCACATATTAAGTAGAGGAAGATGGGCATGGATGTTAGCTCAGGGCTAATCTTCCTCAAAAAAAAATTAAAAGTTAAAAAAATATAGAAAAAAATTAAATTCAATCCAAGGCTAAAAAGGTGATTAATTATTGTCAGCATATTTCGTTTATTAAAAAGAAATAAACATTGGACTCCTTTCTTGAGTTGGCTTGAGCTGAACTCTTTCACAGGGCAGATGGGAAGAGGGGGTCTTTCCACTTTAGCAGTATAAATCCTCCAAGATGTGTTAGTCTCATAACTTAGGAACTCAACTCAATATTAGGAGACATTTTTCTGTGTACAAGTACTATCTTCCTTTAAATTTTAAGTAACTAAACCATAATGTGCCAACTAAGTTTAAGTTTTAAAAAAAATATTATTCAGTTAAGTTTATGTATACGGGCCTTGAATCCTAGTAGGTCAGAATTCTAGTTCTCCTCTTGTCTAGCTAGAGACCCTTCATTTATAAAACAGAAATATCACTGACCTACTTTTTAGGGTTTTCTTGAGGTTTACAAATAATGTTAAATGTTTAGAATACATAGGAGGAGCTCAATAAATGAAATCCATTTGACAATCAAAGGTGTTTAGAAGTGCTCATCCAAAAAAGAGTTCATAAAATTGTTGTCTGAGAGTACTTTTTCTCCTGTTTCCCATCTCTTAAATCATTAACCACACTTGGAGTGGGTGGGTGATCAGAAGACAGACAAGGTACAGGCAATATCTAAATCATTCTCAAGCAAAATTCAGATGTAAGCACAAACATATCCATTTAAGTTTATTTATCCCCCTAGGAACTAATGCATCATGATAATTCATACAAACACATATTAACATTGCATTCTATACATTAATATAAAGCATGCAAGGACAGAGAATATGTTTATTCTCTTACATCTGTGATGGTTTCTTTTCTTCTTTCTCCTATTTTTGTCTTCTTCCTATTTCCTCCCATTCCTTATAAATTTGGGCTTCCTTCTCTCTCCACTTTGTTATCGGAGAAAACAGAGAATTTGCTATGAAAATGTTTCTCAAAGTTCTAACTCTAGGCAGTGTCATTTTCCCGGAACTACCTACCTACTTTTCAACTACCTGTTTGGCATCTCTATGTGGCAGTTCTGATGGCACCTAAAATTGAATACACCCGAGCTTGCACTCATCCTCTTATTCCCCAAACCTAGCATCGCCCCCTGAGAACCTTATGTCTAAAGGCGGAAATGAGCCGGTTTTGATTCTTTCTCTCCCGATACCCTATGTCTAAGCAGTTGACCTTAAGTCCTTTGCCTTGATGGCCTCATGTTTTAGTCTCTCCTTCCTATGCCTGTCTCTATCTTTCCACTGAGAGATTCTTATCTCAATTTTTATAAAAACCTCCTAAGTGCTTTCCCTACCTCCAGTCTCCTCCCATTACAATCCAGCCTACAAATTATACCCGGATGAATCTTCCTAAAAGCAGTAATTTAATTTCATTCTCAAAAATCTCCCACTGTGAAACAGAGGAAGTACAAACTCTTGCTTGGCATCTGCGATTCTCGACCAGCTATCATCAACTTATCTTTTGAGCCCTATTGCCCTCAATTCCTTTGACCCTGAGTTTGCACAAAAGAATGGCTCCACAAAGCCAGATCTAGATTTTGCATATAATTTTCTTTGGCCTACACACTGGCTTTATAAATTTTAAATCACTTATTTTGAATTAATTGCTCCCATTTATACATTGGAAGGTTTAACATAAAAATCCAGAGTCTGGCTTCTCATGAAAAGTTAGAATATTTGGCACCTTTGGGCCCACATTCCTGCATGACACAAAGGGCTGAAGGGAGGCAGTGAGTGCCCTTTTAAATGGAGACACATGCTCCAGTTCACCTTCATCTGATTCGTGTCACTCAATCTGGTCCTGGCATGGTGCCTGTAGGCCTGTGAATTTATGACTCTTGCACTATACTCCCTAGTACTCCAGCCAAGTGCACCATTCCCAAATGCATAGTGTATCTTTGCTTATATTATTCCATGTTTCAAGAAATGCCCTCTCCCTCTATCTTTCCTGTCTTTAAAGCCCATTTTAAACACTACATCTTCTATGAGGCTTTCTCTGACCCCCTGGATGTTGCTGCCCTGTTTTTGAACCTCTGTAACACTCTGGTTCTGCTATGACCCGTATCCCACTCTCCACTGGATCACAGCCATTGGTATCCTTGATTCTCCCCGTTTCTCAGGGACGTGTATAGACAAATACTTCTCCCCCACCCCTCAGGCTTTCCTGAAGAAAGGTTTTCCTCTTAACTGAGACCTTCCTTCTCCTCCCCACAGAGATGGAGTGAGTCTCTCCCCACCTACTTTCCCCTCCTGGATCTGCCTGTCTACACGGTGGAGATGCCTTGCTCTGCTTGGCAGTAAAGGTCTTGGTTCGGCAGGTGAGCCTGAGGTTGTTGGCATTACCTGGGCGTGTACATTTGCCCAAGTGGAAAGTTCAGGATGAGGAGGCCACAGTTGCCACACATTGAACCAGGACTTCCCTTCCAGGTTTTATCAGTAAACAAAGCTAAGAGTCTCATCTGCTTGAATACTTATCTCACGACTGTTTTCAAACTCAAACAGGGAGAAGGAGGGGTTCAAGTTAGGGCGCCTTCTAACCCCAACAATAAGAACTCACTTTTTCTGGAATCTTCTGCAGCTCCTAGCAAAGCTCATGGTACAGACAGGCACTCAAAAAACATTTATCAAATTGAATAAAAAAATATAATCAATGTGCATAAAATTCATGGAATCTAATTTTTCTTATGCTTATGTCCTCGTAAACTATAACTTAAATGTCTCTTTATAATGTTAACAAAATGCAAATTATTCTGTAACATAAAATATTTATTTCCTATTTACATTTCCATTTGTATGTAAATCATTGCACATCATATCACATATCAAGAAAAAAAGAAAAAAATATATAAACCTTAAAAGTCAGCGAAGAAAGCATCACAGCGTATGATATTAGTCAGCAGTCTCGCTCGCGTTTCTTGCCCTTTTTTGATTTTCTGCCTGTTTCTTGACGGATGGTGTCATACTCCAATATGGCCATTTTGGAAAGCCTCTGTAAGTACTGAGATGACGCTCCAGGGAGAGGATCGCTGAAGCCAGAATCTGTGAAGGAGAAAAAGTCAGCTATTAAAATTAAATTAAGCACACATGAATAATTTTCTCTAATACATTGCAAACAAAATATCTGTTCCTCAAGTGAACATTAAACACTACTAGCTCTTCATAGAACACATTCTCTGAAGTAGAAATGCCACTATTTACTTTCCAAAGTGACTGTGACAGCAAGCCTGCTAAACAAATATTTAACTACAAAAAAACCTGTAATGCTTGTATTTAATTATATAAAACTAAATCTGTGTCTGTAATGTGCTTCTTAAGACATGGGATGGCTGTGGAATTTATTCCAAAGGAAAAGGCGCAGTCTCCATAACTAATTAACTTGTTTCATACTTTATGTGCTGATCAAGTAATTTTCTCCAAAGAAAGCCATTTCTCATAAATGCTAAGTGAAATAAAACAGTAAAATTGTAAAGTGAAATAAGTCATTCACTAACTGAACAAGCACTAATCAAGCTTGTGCTATAGAGTGGTGGCAATAGTAACAGGGGACACGTACTGAATGGCCTCTCTCTGTCAAGTCCCTTTCGTCTATTTTATCCACACAACACTATGAAGTAAGTAACTAGTACTATCTGGGATTACAGATTTAAAACAGATTTATCGAAAAAAGGCTAAAAAACTTGCCTGAGGGCAAAGACCCAGTAACTGTTAGAGGCAGGATTTGAACCCAGATTCATCAAATTCAAAGTTCCCCTGTAATCACTACATATTGCCCTAAATATGTAAATATGTATAAATACTTCTATTTAGAAATATACAATATATATACAATATATTATTATTTGAAAATAATAAAACGATCCATATTGCTTTAAAATACTATTATTTAACTTTGAACAGTTTCAAATGTCAAAAAAGCTGTCTTCAGTTCTCCAATGTGGTTGTTATATTTTTTATTATTGTCATTGTTGTTTTGGTTATGGTTGTTATTGTTTTGTTTGAATGTATAATATGAGTGAAGTTCAGAGAGAGTAGAGGGAAAGAATATGATCAGGATTCCTGTTCTTAGCAGTACAATGGACTTGACACTTAGAAAGACCCTCTAGCTGCAGATTAACTAGATTCTAGGCATTAAGCAAACCTCAAAAAAACTTCAAGAATTGGTATCACACAGAGTAATGCAATTAAGTTGGAAGTTTTTAACAATAAGATAAACAAAAAATATTTAGAAATTTTTACATTCTAAATTATTCATCAGTCAAAAAAGAAACCATAATAAACATTAAAAATACTTGTAACTAAATGATAAAGAAAATATTAAAAACTTGTGCGATGCAGCAAACGTTGTACATAGTTTTATACTCTGAAATTCTTACGTTAGAAAATAAGCCTGAAAATTAACAAGCTAGGTATAAGATACACGTTAGGAAAAGAATAAACTCAAAGAACTTGGAAGGAAAGATAATACAGAAAAGAGGAGAAAATGAAGTAGAAAACAAACGTACAATAAGAAAGATTTTTAAAAAGATAAGAGTTTTTAATTGAAAAGACTAATAAAAAAGGAAAGCCTCTGGTGAGATTAATCAGGAAAAAAGCAGAAGGAACAAATAAATAATATTAGGAGAAGAGTGACAGAGGTACAGATAGAACAAAAATTAAACTTTATGCCAATAAATTCGAAAACAGAAAAAATGCAAAAAGTTCTAAAAAATATAACTTACCAAAATTGATTGAAGAAGAATTAGAATGCCTTAAGAGCCCTAAAATTAAAATGATTGAATCAACATTAAAATTTTACTCCAAAGAAAACAAGTGACCCAGACAATTTTACAAAGGAATTCTATCAGACTTTCAAGAGAGAGAGATCATGCCAATTTTAGGTCACATCCTTCAGAGAACAGAAAGAGTGGAATAGTCCCCACTTCCCTCCATGAGGCCATTATAATCTTGACACTGAATCCAGACAAGGATAGGACAAAAAGGAAAATTAGTAGCAACCTCACTCATTAACATAGATAAAAAATCCCAAATAAAATACTGGCAAATAAATTACAGCAGTACATAAAAAGATAATCATGCCTAAATTGGGTGTATCCAAGGCATGCAAAAATGACTTAACACTACAAAACCTACAAATGTAATTCTTCACATTAAAACATTAAACAAAATCACATGATCATCTCAAGCAATTCAGAAAAAGTTGATAAAATTCAACTCTCACTTAAAAAAATAAAAATAAAAAAACTCTTGGTAAATTAAAGAGAACTTCTTTACCTCGATAAAGGATATCTACCCAAAACCTACGGCAAGCATCACTCTTAATGAGGAAACATTAAAGGCACTTTCTTTAAAATTAGAGACAAGTCAAAAATGCCTACTATTCCTTTCTGTTCACCATTGTATTGGTGGTCCTAGCCAGCTTAGTAAAATCAGAAAAATAAAGGCATTGGATTTGGAAAAGAAGAAACAAAACTGACATTATTCACAGATGATTATGATAATCTACATAGACAACTCCAAATTGTAACTATATATATAAATAATATATATACACAATTATTATATTATAATTATATATTATAAAAGTATATTATATAATATATAATGTACATTGTATATATACATATATGTATATAAGGTATAATGTATATTAATTTTAAACTAATATATAACGACATAATATTTTATATTACATATAAAAGGAAATTAGGAAGTAATACGAGACTTTAGCAAGGTGGATGGCTCTAAGAACAAATTGCAAAAATTAACTACATTTCCAAATATTCACAATAGAAAGTTAGAAATTTTAATTATAAAAGAATTGTGGCAGCGTGCTAATCATTCTTTCAAACAGAATTTTAGCTGAGCACGTGGCCATCCAGGTAGGGATGACATTTCTGAGCTTACGCTGGAGCTAAGCATAGCCTTGTTAATAAGTATGGACCAAGGAGATCTGAGTAAATGTGCAACTTTCTAGTCATCTTTAATTTAAATTACAATCCTCTTACCCTAGATTTCTGTTCTTTCCCCTTCCCTTGGCTGGGATTCAGACATGGCAATGACCCACTTGCAAACAAAGACAAAACCCTATGGGTTGGTGAAACAAGGTGGGATGTCTCTGGGTTCCTGAATGACCAGCTGAAATAGAGCCACCCCACTAGCTTGGATCACTCACATTTAGAAATTAGAGAAAAATGAACTATCTTATTTAAACCGCTATAGTTTGGAGGTCTTTTTGGTACAGCAGCCTTGGCTGCTATTAACATTCTTGTATGTTTCTTTTGGTACACATGTGCACCCAGTTCTCTTGGGTGTATAACTAGGAGTAGCACTGCTGAGTCATAAAGTTTGTATTTCAGCATTTACTACCAAAGGGTTTTTGAAAGTCCTTATGCCAATTTACACTTCTACTGGCAGTAATGAGCATTGCAATTATTCCCATCCCTCCTAGCACTCGGTAACTGTTAGTCATTTTCATTTTAGCTATTCTTGTAGGAATTGTAAGTTAAATTTTCTTGATAATAAATTATGTTGAGTACCATTTAACATGCTAATGACCACGTGAATATCCTCTTTTGTAAACTGCCTGTTCAAGTCTTTTATTCATTTTTCAGCTTAGGTTGTCTTTTTCTTATTGATTTGAAGGAGTTCTTTATATATACTGGATATGAGTCCTTTGTTGGACATATATATTACAAGCATATTCTTCCAGTCCACAACTTGCCTTTTCACTATGTTAAAGATGTCTTTTAAAGAAAAGAAGTTTTTAATTTATCAATTATCAAAGCCCAATTTATCAATCTTTCCCTTTTAATTAGTGCTTTTTTGTGTCCTATTTAAGAAATCTTTGCCTGTCCCAAAGTCATGAAGATATTCTCCTATGTTAACATGTAGATTTTTTTTTCTCCACATTTAGGTCTATTATCTTTCTGGAACTGACTTTTGAGTACAGTGTGTGATGGGGTCAAAGTTCATTTTATTCCATACGGATATTCCATTGAAAAAACACTCCTTTCCTCAATCCACTGTAGTGGTACCTTTGTTGTAAAGTCAGGTGATTATATGTAAGTGAATCCGTCTCTGGACTCACAATTCTGTTCCTTTAGTCTAATTGTCTATCTTTGCACCAATACCACACTGGTTTAATCACTGTTTTCTAATAAGTTGTGATATCTGGTAATATAAGACCTACATCTTTGTTTTTACCCTTTCAATTGTCTTTGCTTTTCTTGTTCTTTGTATTTCTATATAAATTTTAGAATTGCCAGGTTAGTTTCTACCCAAAAAAAGCCTACTGATTTTTAATTGGGATTGCATGAATGATTTAGTAGACAATCGAGATCTTTAAATAGTGAGTATTCCCATTCAAGAACAAAGTAAATCCATCTATTTAGTTAGGTCTTCTTTAATTTTTCTCAGTATTGCTTTATAGCTGTCTGTGTAAAGGTCCTGCACAACTTTTATTATATCTATTCCTAAGCAATTGAGGTCACTTGATGAAATTGCAAAAAGTATCTTTTAGAATTTTATTTTGTAATTGCTTTTCCTCATTTACAGAGAAACAACTAATTTTTTTATTGACTTACTAAACTGATTATTAATTCAAATAATTAATCTAGAATGTTTTGGATTTTCTAAATATCCAATCATGCCACGTATAAAAAATGGTTTTTTTTTCAATTCACGTGTCTTTAATTTCTTTTTCTCACCTTATTCAACTGGTTTATGATCTCTAGTACAATGTTGAATGGAAGTGGTGCTAGTGGACATCAGAGCAGGTATCCAATATCATAATACCAGGGCGAAAGTTTTCAGTATTTCACAATTAACTCTCATGGTTGCTGTATGTTTTTTCCCCACAAATGTAATTTATTTGCGGTTCAGGTAGTTATTAGTCTAACACAAAGCTTACTAAGGAAAATTCACTTAAGAAGGAAGTTGTGGTGATTGATGCTTTAATATGTAATGACTTTATCCAGAAAACTATTCTTTAAATCACTTGTATGAAGTAGCTTCCAAACAACTCTGATAGGCTCTTAAAATCTTAGTTTTTAAACTTACAAATTGAACATATAACTTCATATAAACATGCAAATTACATGACAACTTTTAGCTTTGTGAATTTATATTTTACACCACAAATGTACATGTATCTTTCTCTTAGATTTTTTTTTGCCATGTTAACAATTTCTAAGTGGACAGTTCAGTAATGTTAAGTATATTCACATCATTGTGCGACAGATCTCCCAGACTTTTTCATCTTGCGATACTGAAACTCTATACCCACTAAACACTAATTCCCCAGCCCTTGTCCACCACCTTTTTACTTTCTTGTTTCCAAGATTTTGACTAATTTAGATACTTCAGGAGTGGGATCCAGAATTTGTCCTTTTGTGCCTGGCTTATTTCACCTAGCATAACATCCTCAAGGTTCATCTATGTTATAGCATGTGACAGAATTTCCCTGTTTTTAAAGGCTGTAAAATATTCCATTGTATGTATATACCACATTTTTCTTTATCCTTTCATCTGTATAAGGACATGTGGGTTGCTTCCACCTCTTGGCTACTGTGAATAATGCTGCAGTAAGCACAGGTGTGCAAATATCTCTTCAATATCCTGCTTTCAATTCTTTTGGATAAAACCCAGAAGTGGGGTTGCTGGATCATATGTAACTCTATTTTTAAGTTTTTGAGTCTCTCCATACTGTTTTCTATAATGGCTGCACCGTTTTACATTCCCAGTGCACAAGGGTTCCAACTTCCCTGCATCCTCACCAACACCTGTTATTTTCTGTCCTTTTGACAGTGGCCATCCTGACGATGGTGAGAGGGTGACACCTCATTGTGGTTTTATTTGCATTTCCTTAATGGTTAGTGAGGTTGAGCATCTTGTCATGTACTTATTGGTCATTTGTATAACTTCCTCAGAGAAACGTCAATTCAAGTCCTTTGACCACTTTCTAATCAGGTTATTTTTTTATTATTGAGCCATAGAAGTTTCTTATATATTCTGGATATTAACCCCTTATCAGACATACAATTTGTAATTATTTTCTCTCATTCTGTCAGTTGCCTTTCACTCTGTTGACTGTCTCCTTTGACATGCAGAAGTTTTTAAGTTTGAGCACAACCAGAGGCACTCACAACTAGAATATACAGCTATGTACTGGGGGGCTTTGGGGAGAAGAAGGAAAAAAGACAAAAAAAGAGAAAAGGAAAAAGAAACAAGATTTGCAACAGATGTTAGCTCAGGTGCCAATCTTTAAAAAAAAAAGTTTTTAAGTTCTATATCATCCCATTTGTCTATTATTTATATTGTTGCCTGTGCTTATGGTGTAAGAGCCAATAAATCATTGCCAAATTCAATGTCTTGATGTTGTCCCCTATGTTAGTTTTAGGTCTTATGTTTAGGTCTTTAATTCATTTTGAGTTAATTTTTGTATATAGTGTAAGGTAAGGGTCCAATTTCATTCTTTTGCATGTGGATTTCTAGTTTTCTCAACACCATTTGTCAAAGAAACTGCCCTTCCCCATTGCGTAGTCTTGGCACCTTTGCTGAAAATCATTTGACTGTATATGCAAGGGTTTATTTCTAGACTTCCTACTCTGTTCCACTGGTCTATGTATCTATCTTTATGCCAATACTATACTGTCTAAATTACTATTAGGTATGTTTTGTAGTCTGTTTTGAAGGAAGTGTGAGGCCTCCAACTTTGTTCTTCTTTCTCCAGACTGTTTTGGCTATTCAGGATTCCTTG